CTTCCTCTTTCTCCACCACGTCACCACCAGCGTCCTGCCCACGTCCCTGTGGTGTGCACGGCCAGACAGGAGCACAAGGTGTCAGACAGTTGTCACCACCCCCGAGCATCCAGGGGACATCATCGAGGCCGGGGGGATTTCCAGCCACCGGCAGACAGTAGAGAACAGCAGTGGGAAAATGGAGCTGTTTGTGCCCCACATGTGGGACAGGAAGGAGGCAGACGGTGACGTGTGTCCCTGCCCCACTGCAGCACCCCCAGGACACAGGGCACCTGCCTGCTCAGCCCTGCCAGGACCAGACACCCCCAGGGATCCATCACTGTGGTCGGGATGACAAGTTGATGTCACCCTGTAGATGGGGCCACCCTGTATTGTCCCACTCTGCTGTCCCCTCCTTGTCACCAAAGTGGGTGTTGGGTGGCCCTTATCCATTTTCCCAACTCCCTCCTGCAGCAGAGGGGACAAGGAGGGGAATAACAGACCCAGTGATACTTCTCCAGCCCAGAGCAGCCTCATGCACTGTCACGCACCAGGGGATCCAGGACGTGCAGCTGACTCCAAAAATGTCACGGAAAGAGCAAGAAGGGGATAAATGGGACAGTGAAGTGAGCCACAAGCTCTGCAGGAACCACAGAGAAAAACCAGAACAGGGAAGTGAGAGCTGAAAGGGATGGGAGGGAAAGGAGGGGGACAGGGGGACAGGGGGACAGACAGGACAAGGGCTGGCTGGAGACCCCTCATGATTCCAGGTGTCCCCCACCAAATGCCACTGCTCAGCACCGTGCCCGTGTCCCCATGGCAGGGTCCTGCCATGCCAGGGGCTCTGCATCTCCCATGTGACGTGGCACTCCGTGTGTCCCTGTGCCTGAGGGCTGAGGCCCCACTGCCCCATATGTCCTTGCGCCCCAGAACCAGTGTCCCAGCACCCCACGTGTCACCATGTCCTGGGACCAGTGACCTGTGTGTCCTCGTGCACAAGGACTTGGTCCCCAGCATTCCCAGTGCCCTGTGCTCCAGAACCCACCATGTCCCTATATCCCTGTGCTGCCCTGTGCTCCAGAACCCACCATGTCCCTATATCCCTGTGCTCCCCTGTCTCTCCCTCTTCCTGTGACCCCCTGTCCCCATGTCCCCATGTTCCCATGTCCCTGTCTTCACATGTCCCCATGTCTCTGTCTCCCATATCCCTGTGTCTCCATGTCCACATTTTCCCTCCCATGTCCCCATGTCCCTTCCTCCATATCTCCCTGTGTTCCTGTGTCACTCATGTCCCTGTCCTCCTGCTCTCCTGTGTCCCCATGTCCCTGTCTCACATATCCCCCCGTCCCCACGGTCCTGTCTTCCATGTGCTTATGTCTCCATGTCCCTGTGTCCCTGTCCTCTTGACTTTCCACGTCCCCATGTCCCTATCCCCCCACAGCCCAATGTCCTCATGTCCCATGTCCCAGCCCTCCTGCCTCTCCATATCCCCATGTCCCTGTGTCCCCATGTCCCTGTGTCCCCATGTCCCATATCCCCTTGTCCCGCATCCCTGCCCTCCTGCCTCCCTAGGTCCCAGTCTCCTTGCTTCCCTTATCCCTGTGTCCCATGTCCTTGTCTTCCCACGTGCCCATGTCTCCACATCCCTGTGTCCCTGCCCTCCTGACTCCCCATGTCCCCAAGTCCCCATGTCCTGTGTCCCTGTCCTTCTGTCTCCCTGTGCCCCCCTGACCCTGTCTCCCTGTGCCCCCCTGACCCTGTCTCCCTGTGTCCCCTTATCCTTGTCTCCCTGTGTCCCCTTATCCTTGTCTCCCTGTGTCCCCATATCACCGTGTCCCCATATCCCAGTGTCCCCGTGTCCCTGTCTCCCCGTGTCCCCATATCCCCATGTTCCTATGCCCCATGTCCCCACATCCCCGTGCCTCCATATCCTTGTCTCCCCATGTCCCTGCCTCCTCATGTCCCCATATCCCGTGTCTGTGTCCCCTTGTCCTGTGTCTCCATATCCCTGTCTCCCCGTGTCCCCACATCCCCATGTCCCCATATCCCGCTGTCCGTGTCTCCGTGTCCCCCTGTCCCGTGTCCCCCTATCCTGTGTCCCTCTATCCTCGTGTCCGTGTCTCCGTGTCCCCCTGTCCCATGTCCCCCTATCCCGTGTCCCTCTATCCTCGTGTCCGTGTCTCCGTGTCCCCCTGTCCC